CTTGTCGATATGTTTCCCGTGGAAATAAAGTTTGAACTGAAAGCAAAATTGAGAATTCTCTGTACAGAAAACAATGTCATGCAGTATGTTATTTGATTGATTAAAACCTTAGCTTTTTATTGGTTATAAATAATATAGTATTAAATATCAGAGAGATCTATTGGTAATTTATGAAAGAGAGGATGTGACAAGTGGGCATGGCATGAGGGGTCTGATTGTCTATTTTATGGCTCTGAAACTACATATTGCAGGCAATGAAAATTACACTTTGCCTAAGCAATGATAACAGTATAATAAGTAATTTACATTACATTTTGTACTTCTTGGACGGGGGGTAAATTAATTAGAGAAGAGGAAATACCTGGATAGAAAATGTCACAATTCTCATGCTAGGGGAAATTCAGGATTTTTTTCTAATATTGTCTTATAAAATTAAGAACTTAAAACTTATATACAATTAAAATTTGGTTTATTAGCTGCATTTTTATGACAAATTTATTCTTATACCATGATAACAAAGTAGTTTAAATTTTAAATGTAACTCTAAAACCTCATGACATGTGCAGAAGATGCCCTTGGAGAGAGATTTAATAGTGCTGTAGGGGGAGCAGGAATGATTTAACCCTATCGGCATGGGTACCCTTTACTGCGCATAACACAAGGTTTTACTGTCTTACATTCAAAATTTTATTAAACTACTTTTTGTTTATGATATACCAATTAGAATAGCATAAAATCTTAGCTAGTAATCCATATTTTAATAATATACAAGTTTTAAGTTCTTAATTCTAAAATGAAATGTATAAAAAAATCCTGAATTTCCACTAGTGTAACACACATGACAAATTTTGTCTTAGCATGTCATCATCCCTATTTTATCCATCACCTCTTGAAAATGTACGAAATTAAGCATAAAATGCTTTCTATAAAATCATTATTGCTCAAACAGACCATAATTTTTATGGCCTTCAATTTTGTTTTGTTACAGAGCTTTCAAAGAGAAAAATAAGACCCCTCCTGCCACATCCTCTCTTTCACAATTGGTTGATAGTTCTCTCTTACGTTTCATTCTATATTATTTATAATCAATAGAAAGTCAAGGTTTTCATCTATCAAATGGTGTATTGTATAACATTGTATTCTGAACAGATAACTGTCAATGTCACTCTCGGTAGCAACTTCGTTCCTGTGTGAAAGTTAACGACTAGCTTGGATGAATTTGTAACGGCTCATCTCATAGTTAGAAAGCCAAGAAAATTTTTAGAAGTGAATTTGTCTACTTTTTGCATGTTATTAGTCTATGTTCTTTGGTGTATTATT